CAGAAAGGGGATCTGGACCCTAGACATTGCCTGGGTCCCTTTCCCTCATCACCACTTGGCCTCTGTGAAGATGGCGGCCTCTACTTCCCATTCACAGGCTGCTGCCCCTCCGGGGGTCTGCCTTAGCTTGCCTGAGGTTGGCACCAGGTTCTGTCCTGGTGCCAGGGGCCCTTGGCAAGTTCATACATCAAACAAGGAGGCACTAGCTGGCTTCCTGCCCAACCGGAAAGGGGGAAGAAATGGAAGGTGTGGCCCTACCCTAGCCTCTTGCCCTCCTGCCCTTACCAGAAACCACGCCTGTCCCCAGACAGGGGATAAGGCTGAGAGGTGGTCAGCAGACCCCCCACATCTCGCTCCAAGGCAGCTGTGTGAAGCTACTTCTTCCTGTCCTTCCTGAGCCCCACACTGGGCCTGAAAAGCAGTAGGAATGATGAGAAGTCCTACAAGGGCACATATTAGGGTGCCAGAGAACCTTCTCTCCCACCCTGTGATATTGCCCATGCCCACCACCTGAAGCGCTCCTAGATAGAACAGTTCCTCCCATTCTTGAGATGCCTGGGTCTTGCAGACACCCATCAACAGGGAAGCAAGCATGCGCCCAGCACAGGGGCTCACAATAACCCCACACTGGAAACAACCATGTGCCTATCAATGGCAGAAGGGGTGAATCAGCAGTGGACCTTCACACGATGGAACACCATCGGCCACGGGATGGAACCATCTACAGCCACACACGAGAACATGGATGGAATTCACAGCTGTGATGTTGACCAGAGAAGTCAGGCACAAAAGAATACCTGTGACACACTCCACTTAGAAGAATTGTCATGACAGGTAAATCTATGCTGTTGGAGGTTGGCGTCGTGAATGACCCTTGAAGGGGAAACGACCATTGAAGGGGATTAATGACCAGCAGGAGCTGCAGAGGCACTTTTGGGTGCTGCAAGTTTCCATTTCTTGGCTGACCCATGGGTCTCAGTCCCATGGATATGTGGGTGTGTTCGGTTAATGGAACGCGTGTACACTTTTCTGTATTTATGAAATACTTCAATAAACGGAAATGGAGGAAGATCTCATGGTGCCTTACCAGCCAACATGTTTATAGGATGGGGAGTCACCTTACTCCTCTCTCCTGCTTCTCATTCCACCTCCAAACCATCTCTACATCCTTCTTCTCTGATCAGCCTTGGCTCCCTGGCCTTACCATCTCTGATCCAAAGGGGATCGGAGAACCTCTCCTGCCCAGGTTCCCAGCTCTGACCCTCACCCCCGTGGGGCTCATGGGAGTAGTCAGAGAAAATCTTTTAAGCCTTTGTAAGAGCTCGAAACCATCCTTCATCTCAGGACCCTCAAGTATGCTGCTCCCACCCTCCAGGATACTTCTGCTCACTACCATCTGCTACACTCCAGCTTCCAGTTGAAATGCCATTTCTGCATTTTCCAGACTAATCCCTCTGTTATCACTGCCCACGATATCCTTCACCTTCCCTCCAGAGCACTATTTCCAGGAATGCATTTATTTGTGCTATTGTTTGCTTCCATTTCTCCCACTGGATTGACATCCCCCCACCCCGGCAAGAACAGGGCCCTGTCCACAGCTCCTAGCTCAAAGCGTGCCTTATAGCAGGTGCTCAAAAATGCTTGAAACAATGCTAAATAAATGGGTGGCCAGGCCTGCCTGTCTTGCAGGCAATGTCTGGGGAAGACAAAAGTTGTATTTGGGGACAAAACTCCCACTTGTGTAGGCCAGGATATCTGGCTTGTGGCCTGGGTTCCGCCACTCATTGTGTGACTCTGGGCAAGTCACTCCCCTTCTCTGCACACAAGGGTGGATGGAGCAGGGTCGTGTGTGGGCTTGAAGGGACATGACACTGTACATGTGTTCAGTGGCTGTGTGTGTGTGCACGTCTCCCTGGGAAGAGCATCTATAGCCTTGATCAGATTCTTAAAAGGATCTATGACCTCAGAACCACTAACCAAGATCCTTTTTGGCTCTGGAGGTCTATGAGTCTATAACTAGTCTATGATTCTCTGTTACGAGAGTAAGGGGAAGACCTTCCGTCATGGCTGCAGGACCCCACAACAGGGATGCAGGAGAGACTGAAGGCCCTGGCCTCCCCCAGAGCCTCCTAAACTCAAGTGGGGTATGGCTGAGAGAAGCAGAGACCAGACAAGCTGACCCCAGGGGCTGGTTTTGGGAGGGAGGAGACAGAATCAGCCTGGAGTCTCTTCCCCTCTGCTCCCGCCACCATCAGACAAGCACCCACTTGTCTTGGGATATGGCACAGAGCTAGGAGGCGAGGCTGGCACCTAGAGATGCCCGCCAGGCCCCTTGGCGCCCAGGTCAGAGAAGATTTGGCGGGAATGCTCAGGAGGGGTGCCAAGCCTCACCCTCCTTCCTCCAGAGGCTGGAATGCGGGGCTCAGAGTGCAGGGTAGCTGAGGGAGAGAGAGAGAACCACCTGAGAGGGCAGGGTGAACAGGGCCAGGCTCTGACAACGCAGAACTGGGGCTCAGGGGCCCAGAGCTGGCGCAGGCAGCCCCTCCTCAAAGTGGGGTGGAGGAGCAGGCCACAGATTCAGATGAGGAGAGGAGAGAGAGCCATGAGGCCTGAGGACAGGGGACAGTCCGCCTAGAGGGCAAGCCAGGCAGCATGGCAGGCAGAAAAGGGCAACAAGGCTTGGGAAGGAAGGAGCAGAGCAGCGGGCTGGGAACGTGCCCGGCCTGTGGCCCAGGGTGAGAAGCTCGGTATGGAATGGCTGTGGCAGGAACGGCAGCATGTCTGCAGCAGGCCCTGGCTGCCAGCCCAGACGCCTGGGTACTCCTGAGCCCTGGCTCCTGAGCCAGTGAGAGTCCAAGTGATGTTTATCCGCCACAGGAACGTGGGTGTCACACCTCTTACAGTGAGCGCCCAGGTGACAGGCTGCTCTTTCCTGGGCCACGCAGTCTCCTGAGAGTTATCCAGTGAATGGGGGTCTGGGCTGGAGAGCGCCACCAGCAACAGCAGCCCCCACTGGAGCCGGGCCCGGGGCACAGGGCTGGGATGGAGTTTTATCCATGCAGATAAAGGAAGGAGTGAGTCACAGGGAGCTCTCCGGAGGCCCTGGGAAACTAGCTCATTCGAATGCAGACAGACATCCGTCCCCATCCCTGTCCCTGTTGCTGTCACACACTGTCACATGCACGTGTATGCACGTGTGCACGAGCACATGCACACACACACACACCCCTCCCCTCCCACTCCCTGTCCTTGATCACCCACCTCCGGTGCCTCTGGTTCCTTTCCCCATCTCAGCCCCAACTGCCCTGTCCCTGCCCACCCTCACATGGCCCCATAGGGACTGGCTCCATGTCAAAGTTGGCCATATTGGGGGAGGCAGGGAAATAGGAGGAATAAAGGAAACCCACCGAGAGTCCTAAGCCCACACCCACAAGCCTAGGTCTTAAGACAAAACCAGAGAGCAAAGAAGTCTTGGGACAAGTCTGAGAAGCAGGAGAGAACAAGGAACTAGGTAGTCTCAGTCCCAAGGAGCTTCACCAAGCCAGGGGACAGGAGCAACAGCAAAAGCATTGGTGTCCAGGGGTCTGAGGTACCTCCCATGGTTCTCTGCACCAACACAAAATACCAGAAAATGAGCTCAAACTTCCAGAAGGACTTAGTTTGGAAGTTGGTTTAGAAGTTGGAGTTTGATTGGAAGAACTTCTTGGCCAAGAATGATCTAAGATAGGAAGAGATAAGAGAGAGACACTGTGGCCTCTGCTCCCCCTGGTACCTCTGAGGATTAAAGAGAGTCAGGAGGCTCTGAGGCAGGACAAGTGTCCTGATGACTCTGGAGTAGCCCCTCAGTCTGTGAATCCTGCCATATCACCTCTGTGCTCTACCAAGACCAATAGCAAAAGTCTGAGGTGCTCAATCCATACCCTAAAGCTCTCCCTCCTTACCCTGCCCCTAAACCAGACTCAGGCCTCCATCAGAATTATACTAGGACCCAAGTCACTATGAGGGCCCAGAAAACACTACACCCCGCAAGCTTGTCCCTCACCATGGTTAGTGACGCGTGTGACAGTTGGGGCTAAAAGATGGAGTGTTCATTTATAAGTGTCCAGCCCTGTGCCTGGCACTGTGGAGTGTGGCCACAGACATGCCATAATTTGTGCCCCAGAGGAACATCTAATCAGATGGGGCAGAGAGGCCTCTTGGGCATGTGTAACACACACGCACACACAGACACAACTGGCTTCGATGGCTGCGGCTGAGGAGGGGTCTGGAATGTGGCCACGGGTGCATTTGAGCCTCCCCCTCTTTGAACCTCAGGTGAAGGAACATAAAACACCAGCGAATCTAGATCACGACTCAACCAACAGATCTGGGGAGGTGAGCCCAGATTCCACAGGGGGCTAGGGTAGAGCTGGCTAGGCCATAGTGACCCCAAATTCCTCCTCCACCTCTTCCCAGGGAAATCCAGAGGCCAGGCCTAGAGGTCTGAACAGAGTCCCCCAGCTCTGGCTATTCCCACCCTTGGGTGGGGTTCCCACTTAAAGGCTCTGAGACTTACCCAGGACAGAGAACTGCGCAGGGGGAGACCCAGCTATCCCACCAGCCTCCTCAGTCCTTGCTTCGGTGTCCTGCTGGCTCAGAAGGCCCCTCCCTCCAGTCCAGAGAGCCCAGGTCAGGGAAGACAGCCACCTCTCCCCAATGGGCCAGCTCCAGAGAAATTAACCCTTCCCCTGCCCTCCCCAGCACTCCAGCCCTGCTCCTACTGGGGTGGCTCTGAAACCTCACCTGAGTTATTTGTCCTTCTAAGAGTCAGGTCCCCATCGGCCTCCTCCCAAGGGCACAAGAGACCCGGGTGAGACTCTGATCCCCGCAGGCCACTTGGCAAGCGCGGACCCGCACTTTCTTGGCTTGGCTCCTTACCTGTGTCAGGTGGCCCGGACCCTGCCCGCCACCGGATCCCCAACGACAGTGACCTTCCCCTACACCCTCCCCGCAGCGCCTACCTGAAGCAGCAGCTGCCTCCTGTGCGCGCGGCCCGGGTCCCCGGGCTCCCAGCACTGAGCGGGCTCTGCGGCCGGGGGACTCCCGGGGGGCTGAGGGCCGCAGGGGGGCCCGGGCTCCAGAGCCTCACAGCACACCAGGCTCACGGTGCAGCCCATCCGGCTGGGCGACCGGCGGGCCCGGGACAAGGGCGCCCCGGGAGCCGACCCGCCCCCAGCCCTGGCGACGGCTCGGCCCAGGGCGCCTGCGACGTCGGGAGCAGAGCGGTGACGCCCCCTGCCCAGCCCCGCGGGAGTCCGCGCCTTCTCCGCTGCACCGCCTGGAGGCTGGGGACCGCGGGGCCCGGAGAGGGGCGGTGACACCGCGCCCGGACGCAGCCAGTGACTGAGGGAGAGATCCGAGGGCGCAGGGGGCGCAGGGGACTCGAGGAGGGGCGGCGACAGGGTCCTGGACACGGAGGCGGGGGCGGGCTAAGTTGGGAGAGTGAGAAAGAGACCCCCGTGCGTCGAGAGAGGCAGGGAGCAGACACCGGGAGTGAAGGAAGGAGAGACAGAGTCAGGGACGTTGGCGACAGAGATGGGACCCAGAGCCTCTGCATGGATGAGACAGGCAGTGGGGCGGAAGGCAGACTGGACATCTCTGTGTGCTGTGTTTACATGCGGTTCCTGGGGCTCGGGAAAACAGATCTCGCAGGTCCCTGCTCCTCTGTTCTCTACCCCCAGTACTAGCCCCGGGTGTCCCAGACTAGAAAGACCCCAAGAAGCAGAGCAAGCCAGGGTGGGAGGACCACAGCCCTCTAGGCAGCCCACCTGGCCCTTTGCAGGACCACGTAGATTTTACTTCCATTCTTAAGGAGTGGGTACAAGGACTGGGAGGAGGGCACTTATGACAAGCACTCATGGGGAGCCCTCAGCAGGCTGAGGTGGAGAGGAGGAAGGGACTGGGGGGCCCTTGTCCTCCCACTGCCCTCAACTAGAGCCCGGCTCCAAGAAGTGACAGAGCAGAGACCCTTAGAGGGAACCCGCGACCAATGCCTCAGCCTCTTTGTGCCATCTGGTGGTGGAAAGGGAGAAAGACAGGAGCAAGAAGAAGGGACTGGGAAGTTGAACAGCAGGGATGACAAACTCCAGGGGTGAGTTCAAGTTTAGCCAACAAGTAGCCCTTCCCCAAGGTGTGCCTGAGGGGAGCCATTATGCTCCAGTGCCCTTGAGCCTGCCTCTACCACTTCTCCCTGGCAAGGGCTGGCCCCTCCCCTTCCAGGGTGTTGGCCTGAGCCTGAGTCACTTCCCAGGGCCCATGGCTAGGAAGTCACCAGCGACAGGCCCAGGCTGCAGAGTCCAGCTGTCCATGCACCACCAGCCAGGTCTTCCCAGGTGAGCAGTAGGGAGGGTCCTGGGACATAGGAGCAGCTGGGTAAAGGGGGTGACTCTAGGGGTCGGCAACAGAGAGACCCTGGAGAGAGGGGAGGATTTAATAGAGGATCTGGGCTGGAAAGGGCTGCCCAGACCCTCAGTTCAAACACTTGGTGGACAATAGGAAAATTAAGGACCAAGAAAGGTGAGTGGCTTTGCCCAAGGACACACAGTAAGCAAGTAGCCGGGCCAGGATGGAGACTCAGGTCTGTAGACTCCCAGTGCTGTTCTCCCTGCACCCCATCCCCCTTCCTACCTCCCCATTCACCTTCAGTTTCTTCTCCACTCTCCTCCACTGTGACCTACTGCTTCGTCACTCCCACCCCACCCCAAACTCCAGCAACCCTGGCTGAGAGGTAGGACCCCCGGGTTTTCTGCTCCTACCAGGTCTTTGATGCTGGGATCTCGGATTGAGCCCATCAGCCCTCGGGGGCCATAATGTCTATCTTGGAGTCCCAGAATCCCTTGGGAGAACAGGCCGAGAGGCCCCTGCAAGAAGGCAGCGGGACTAACACCAGGTGCCCTGCTCCTCAGCATCAGCCCCTCCCAGCTGTGGGGACTCACTCTACCTCTGCCTCCCTCTCCTCTGGGAACACACATTTTCCACTCAGCTGGGGCCCAGGAAAGGATGAGTGTGGGTTTCAAGGATGACGACGCTCTGCCTAGACTGAGGGCTGTCCGTGGGGGAAGGAGGTGACGTTCCCCCAGCACAGTGTCCACATGGTATACTCTGCTCACTCAGAGGCTCCTTACATCGTCAGGCTGAGAACACGGGCCCTCTGGGCATACAGTTCTAAGTTCAAGTTCTGACTTCATCATTTAAACCTTCGTGATATTGGAGACTCATCCTCTCTGTGTCCCAGTCCACCAGGTACAAAATGGAGCTAATAACTTCCTGGGGTTATTGTAGGGATTAAACGTGACAAGGGTGTCAAGCAATGAGCGCAGTGACTGCCCAGTAAGTGGAGCCATGGCACCATCTTTACACGCTGACCTTCAAGGAAGCTGGGTTAGCCCCCCACTAGCTGACTTGCTGTGTGACCCTATGTAAGTCCTGCTCCATTTCCAGGCTCTGATTCCTCGTTTGTAAAAGGAGAGCTGGGCGGCTGAGCCCAGAAGGTTCTTCCTGAGCTGACCTTGTAAGTCACAGGGAATTGCATCATTTCCAAGTACCCATGGCAGATGACGGGGCCATCCTCAAGGTCACCAGGGACCTGAAAGGTGAGTGTGCCCTGAGAGAGTTTCTGAGGCTGAGTTGCAGGGACAATGAGGGCTCTCGGAAGCGTCTCCCCCGCTCAGAGGCCTCGGTCGCTGATGTCTTCATGTCTGTGTCTGTCATTCTCCCCACAGCTGCTGTCTCTGCCATCCTCCAGGGCTATGGGGATGGGCAGGGGCCAGTGACAGATGCCAGTGCTGAGCTGCACAGATTCTGCGGCTGCCTGGAGCTGCTGTTGCAGGTGGGACCCTGCCCTCCCCCAGCCCTCTCCCCAGCCCCAGGCCTGGAGCAAGGGTCCACAGATACCAGGGAAGAGCTGCTGCCTCCCTATTTTACTTTGCACTGTCCCATCTCCCTCAGTCAGGAAGTTCTCCCTGACTCTAGCCTCATTCCTGGAGCTATCGTTGCTGCCTGAGAAGGGAGGTAGAGCAAAGCTGGGTAGGATGGGACCAGGAGTCAGACATGCTGGTCTCAAGACTAAAGCTTCAGATGCACAGATGTCCTAGGACTGGCCCTTCACGATGCTGGTTAGAGCCCAAATCATAACTGTCACTGAATTTTTTTAAGCACTTACTATGTGCTTAAAAGTCCTTTATTTGACTGACTTTATTTAATCCTCATTTGAACCTTCTGAGGTGATCAATGGCCTCCCTCATGCACATAAAAGCATCCTTCCTACTTCTCTGACTTCGTCTTTTGCCTGTTTGCTACACATCTGCACCTCTGTCAGGAAGCATTTCTCTACATTCTTTTCCCTTCTCTTGGGCTCAGTTTGACCAGAAAGAGCAAAAGAGCTTCCTGGGCCCTCCGAAGGATTACTGGGACTTCCTCTGCACTGCCCTGCGGCGGCAGCGAGGGGACACTGAGCAGACTCGCTTCATCTACTCACAGGAGAAGGTATCCAGGGCCAGGCAGGCGGGAAGGCTGACCTCAGAAGCATGATGGAGCTTTGGCACCAGGCTCTTGACAAGAATGGCGGGGGCAAAGGGCACGCAGCCCCATCTGCTGACCACAACCCCCTGTCTTGTTAGCCCTGCCCCCAGCACCCTGCAGCCCCCGTCTCCTTCCACAGCCTCCAAGTCCCACTACGCCCTTCCTTGTCAGCCAGTTGTTCCTGTCTTCACTCGCTGTGGCCTAATACTGCCCCCTCTCTGGCCCTCTGTGCCCTCCACAGCTGAAGACCCCTCTGGGCAGAGGCCGCGCCTTCATCCGCTTCTGTCTAGCCCATGGACAGCTGGCCGAGTCCCTGCAGCTCTGCCTCCTGAGCCCAGAGCTCATCAGGTGCGGCCACTGGGACATCCCCCCAGGGACACCATCTGAGCCCACTCCCTCCTTCATGAGAGAGCCCTCCCTAGCCCCAAGATGAAAGGCTTAACATCAGAGATAACGAAACAAGAGTCAGAAAGGAAAGGCCAGGAAGAATGGAGTAGACGGGGTGGTCAGAACCCAAGAATGATGGTAGCATCATGATAGAGTGGCCTCCTGACCCAAAGGGCGATGCCCTGTCTGGAAAAGTCCCATGTGGTGTATAGCACAGGCTGATTCATGGAGTTTGGGGTGGCATAGCACCAGGTCACAGCCAAGGCTGGCGATCACTATTAACACAGGGAATGGTACGGCCCTCGGAGCCCTCTCTTGTGCCCTGAACTCCGGGAAGACATCCTGGACTCTCTCTACATGCTCAATGGGGTAGCCTTTGACCTGGACCTGCAGCGGCCGGACCTGGATGGTGCCTGGCCCATGTTCTCGGAGTGAGTGGGTGGAGCCTCTTCCCTGCCGGCTTTCATTGCCCCCTTGCATCCCGAGGAAGCTGGAAGTTGTCGGCCTCCAGCTCCATCCCTGACCTCTGATTCTCCACTGCCCTGGCCCTCTGTGTCCCCACTGTAATCTCATGCTGTCCCAGGGCCCTGCCTAGGGGATACACACTCCAGACCGGCTGGATGGTGGGTAGAGGCTGGGAGGAGGAGTGGACAGTGGTGCTGGTGGATGGATGGAGAGCATGATGAAGGAAAGTGGGAGGGAGTAGATGACAGGGCGGTTGGAAAGATGGGACCTCCTCCATCTGAGGACCAAGCCCACCTCTGGAGTGGAGCCCAGGGTCCTCGTCCTCTTTCACTTTCAGGTCCCGCTGCTCCAATTCCAGCTGGACCCAGAGAAGAAGACCCAGAAAGACCAAAGATTCCCCAAAGGTGGTGCTTCTGTTCTGCCTTCACTGATTGCCTCTTGCGCATCTGGCCGGGACCCCCAGACTGAGCGGTGGCTGGGCATCCCTCTGTTTACAGAGGGGGCCAACAGGAGAGAGAGAGGAGCCAGTGTGGGGGCCAGGGGACCCACTAGGAGCACAGTGGGGGAGAAGGCTGCTGTTCTTGGAGTGATGGGGATACTGCGGAGGGAAAGGGAGCACCAACGCCATCTGCAGGAGCTCCTGGGGACCAGGGAGGAGGAGGCGCAGGGAAGAAGCTTGCAGGAACAGATCAGGGAGACAACCTGTGTTGGCCATTCTCGTTGGTCTACTTCAAGGTCATATTCATCCAGTTGAGTTCAGGGAGTGACTAGGAAGCCGGACTGCCTGGCACAGAGCCAAGCCCCACCCCTTACTAATCACAGCCCTTGGGCAAGTTACCTGCCTGCCTTGTAGGGTCATAGCAAGGATGGATTGAGACACCCACGTGCAGCACAGAGCAAGGTCCTGGCTTGCCTCACCACGGGCAGCTTGTGGTCATTATCATCTTTGTTTCCATCTTTCCACAAGCATGTTTGGCATCCCCACCAACCTCCAGGCACCAGATTCAGATACCAGGAGGACTCTGTGTCTAACCTCAAAGGGTTCAAGGTCTTGTTCAGGGAGATGGATCCTAAAGAAGCACATGCAATACATGTTAAGCGTGTGGTCACCTTCTGCATCTGGGTTTCACATCTCTGGTGTCAGCCAACCGCAGATAGAAAATACTTAGGAAAAATGATCGCCTCTGTGCCTAATACTTACAGACTTTTTTTCCCCTTGTCCTGATTCCCTAAACCATATAGCACACCAGCTATTCACAAGCATTGACATCATTCGAAGATTTATAATTTAGAGATTATCTGAAGTATACGAGACGATTGCATGGCTTTTATGCAGTTGCTATGCCATTTTATATAAGGGATTGAGCACCCATGGATTTGGGTTCCCATGTGGGGTCCTGAAACAGATCCTCCTGGAAATCAAGGGACAACTATAACGACACAGATATGGACCAAGGAAGATGGGAGTACAGAGAGGGCTTCTTGAGAGATGTCACTCAGCTGGGTGTCAGTCAATTTGAGATTTTATCACAATTCTACAGACCAGCTATTATTATTCCCATTTTGAAATGTGAAAGCTGAAACACAGAGTGAAGTTCAGGAGGAAAGTTTAAAGGAGAGGGGTGGGAGGAACTTAGGGGGAACAAGATCACCGTTGAAGACCCAGGTGAGGGAGGGAGACGGACACAGGCTGGAGGTGGGGAGGAAGGGGCAGGGAGACACTCACTCTGCTGTGCTCCCTCCACATCAAAGCTGGGCTCTCAGATCACCTGGCGTGTTGCTGAAATTATTTCTGTTCTGATCAAATTCACTGTGGAAGGGCCTGGGAATCTGTATTTAGCAAGCCCTTTGGATTGGGACTGCAACCTCTTCAGTGCACCAGGTGAGTGATTTGATGATGAGATGACGGCTTTGGGGGGCTTCTTTGCAGATCTTAGCAGCATTTGGAGGCCCCAAAGGAGTCCAGCTGGAGGAGCCACTCACCACTCAAGCCAGCTGTCTACAAGATGCCCCCAGAGGAGGCCAACCGGCTGGACTTCCCAGGTCTCAGCAACACAGACATGTTCCCTCCTGTTTGGAAAAGCAGATAAAAGATTCCAGGAGCCTTGGTTTCCTCCAGGAGCAGGAGGAGCTTCAGCCAGACCTGGAGGAAGGAGCTCCAAGGTCCACCAAGAAATTCCTAGAGAAGCCAAGAGCCAGCATGATGCCAAAGAAGGTGGGGGCCAAGGAGGCTCAGAAGGAGGTGACAGGGATGGCAGCTGAAGGCACAGGGATTCTGCCAGGTGCAGAGGTTCAGAGAACAAAAGGGGTCCATGGAGAAGAAACAGAGTGGGGTCCCACTCAGAGGTTGCTGGTCTTCGGCCCCAGAGTGAAGACGGAGGGAGCAATAGCAGGCAGCAGGCTGGGGTGGGAGGAGCCTAACATTCTGGGGGAGTTCTGGGTCCCCCAGGACCCGGGAACAAAGGAAGACCCCACCACAGAAGAGCCACAAGAACAAAAAGGAGTGACTGGTATGACCAGTGGGGAGGACCAAGCAGAGGAGCCCTTGCAGGACATAGTCAAGGTGAGAACTGTTGGCCTCCAGCCCTTTCTATTTTATCGAGTCAGGTTCTTACTAGGTTGCTTAGGGACTTGCTAAGTTGCTGACGCTGGTTTTGAACTTGCAATGCTCCTGCCTCAGCCTCTGGAGCCACTGGGATTACAAGCATGTGCCACTGCGCCTGGCTGTCCTTCCCTCTAACCTGACCCACAGATGGGGTCCCCAGTGGTAACTCAGGAGCACTCCAGCCCACAAATTATTTTCTTTCTTTTTTTTTTTTTTTTGCGGGGATCGGGTATCAGGGATTGAACTCAGGGACACACAACCCCTGAGCCACATCCCAGCCTTATTTTGTATTTTATGTAGAGACAGGGTCTCACTGTTTTCCTGAACACCTTGTCATTGCTAAGGCTGGCTTTGAACTCAAAGTCCTCCTGCCTCAGCTTCCAAAGCTGCTGGGATTACAGGCATGCGCCACCATGCCCGGCCCACAGATCAATTTTCGTTGGCCTGCCCAGGATTATTATTTGGGGATGCCTCTTGGAAGCTCCCACCTGTCCCTACTGCCCCACACTGCCCCCACTGTCTCCCTCCATACTCTGCCTAGCCCTGTCAGCATTTGCGTTCAAGACCCCCTCCGACAGTTCTCAGGGGCAGTCACTTGTTCTCAGGTTCTGTCTCCCTCCCTCACCATGGCAGGTACCTCCCTACTGCTGCAGACCCCACTCCATACATGTTTGTCCCGGCGGTCACCTAAGATTGCCACAGCGCCCTCCCTCAGCCTCCTCCCTAGCTGGAGCCTTCTAGGTCCTTGAGCTCCATCCTCCAGTGAAGGAGGAAACCGTGGTCCCAGTTTCACCCAACTGACTGCGCGGTCCCCAGTCCTGCCCTCCCCTCAACAGCATGGCCTGGGGCCTCACGGGGAAGTTCATCAGGCCGGCTCCAGGGCTGGGGTCTCTGCCCACCTCCTTCAGCTTCCCCCTCCCCCCTTCCATCCCCCAGAACCTCAGACTTGGGCTCCAGAAGGCTGAAGAGCAGACCCAGCGCCAGGAGCAGCTACTGAAGGCACAGGAGGGGGAGCTGCAGGCCCTTCAGGAGCAGCTCAGCAGGTAACCCGGGCAACCGCGGGAGGAGGGGCTCCATGTTCTCCATCAGCACCTCCACGCACCAGCCCTGGGCGGGTACACTTTGGGAAGCTTGTCCAGTGCGTTGCTCCTCATCACCAGGCCTTCCCACCCTCCCTCACCAACCTCTCAGTAGCCCAGGAGGGTCCTTCCATCCTGCCCTCCATCCCTCCCACCTCACTCCTGCCTCCTGCTGCTGCGTCTCCTGGGCCCCTGCCTCTGTCTCTCCCCCTCTGTCTTTTCAATCTCCTCTGCACCCCACCCAATCACCCCCGCCATGATCTCTTTCTGTGTCCCTCTTCTACTCCATTTGTCTCTCCTCCTCTTGTTTCCTGTTACATGATCTTTTACCCTCCTGATAATCGTAACCATAGCTCTCGTTTTCCAAGCATTTCTTACATCCCAGGCTCGGTTGTAGGCACTTCCTCATAGCAACTTTCTGAAAATAAGTTCTATAAGAAGTCCTGTTTTGTAAATGATTAAACTGAGGCTCCAAGGTGCGATATAACTCACCCAGCATCAACTAGTTAGCAGAGGAGCTGAGATCGAAACCCTGCATGGGGTTCCCCAACGATGGGCTTAAACACTGCTTCCCAGCCGAGTTCTTGAGTGCATCCATCTCTAGGTATCCACAGGAGATTCGTTCCAGACTCCCCATGGATATCAAAATCCATGAATGTTCAAATCCCCTAGAGAGTAGAGGGGTTTTCCCTTTCTCTTTTTCTTTTTGCAGTACTGGGAATCACGTGTAGCGCTTCACACACGCTAGGCAGGTGCTCTACCACTGAGCTGTGTCGCCAGCTCTTCAAGTCCCTTATATAAAATGGCAAAATGGTTGGCATAGAGCCTATGCACATCTTCCTACGTACTTAAACCATCTCTACGTTACTTATAATACCTAATACAATGTAACTACTAGGTAAGTAGCAGTTAAACTATACTACATCATTTAAGAAATAATGACAAGAAAAAGTCTGTATGTGTCCAGTGTTGACTCTTTTTTTTTTTTTTCCAAAATATCTTTGTTCCCTGGTTAGTTGACTCCACAAATATGGAGGGCAGATTCCTTCAGCCTCTCCATGTCTGCCCGGTTATCCAGCAGCTCCATCTTCCCATCATCACCTTGAACTCAAGTCTGTTGCAGCCCTTCCCCCTCAGGCTCCCCATGTCTCAGTTTCTCTTTCATGATTGTTTCAGTCAGATTTTTTGCCACTGCAACTAAAAACAATTGTCGGTGAGGAAGCGTTTATGGGGGCTCACAGTTTCAGAGGTCTCAATCCATAGACAGCAGGCTCCATTCTCGGGGTTTGAGGTGAGACAGGATATCATGGCAAGAGTGGCAGAGGGAAGCGGCTCACATGATGATCAGGAAGCACAGAGAGACTCCACTCACCAGATACAAATAGATACCCCAAAGCCACGTCCCCAATTCCCACCTCCTCCAACCACATCCCACCTGCCTCCAGTTACCACTCAGTTAATCCCATCAGGGATTAATTCACTGATTGAGTTAAGGCTCTAATAACCTTCTTGCATTGTTTCACTTGTAAGCTTTTGGGGGACACCTCACCTACAAATCATAACAATAATTGTGTGTATGCATGTGTGCGCTTGCACTGTGTTGCTGGGGATTGGACCCAGGGTCTCACAGATGCTAGGCAATTTCTCTACCACGGAGCTACATTCTCATCCCCTTTGAAGTTTGGTTTTGAGACAGAGTTTTGCTAAATTGCTGAGCCTGGCCTTAAACTTGGGATCCTCCTGCCTCAGCCTCCTAAGTAGCTAGGATTACAGACGTGTGCAACCACAGCCAGCTCGTACTTTATGTTTTAAAAATATGTCCACCTTGCAAAGACCCTCCTGGATGTGACTCAAGACTCTTTGTGTCTCTCTCCCTGGTCTCCATTGGTCTCAGCCCGCCTGCCTGCCTCTGTCTCTCTTCCATGTGGCTCACACCTGCCCTGGGCCAGGGCACCAGTCCAACCTCCTGTAGAGTCCCAGTCGCTGTGATTCAGACTGAATCACTGGGAAATCTATAGACTGTCTGCTTAACAGCAAGAGACAGGCCCAGGAGCCCAGAAACCTCCCCCCAGGGCTCCTCCCACCACATACTCAGCTGAGCCCGCCGCCTTTGTCAGCAAATATTCCAATGATTCAAGCCCTAAATGAATGTAGGAGCTGTGGCCACCCAAGAATCCTTTGTAGGATTGAGAAAGGCTGGAAGAAGCAGCTGGGTGGCTCCAGGGAGCTCAGGCTGCTCCCCGTGACTAGGGGCCCTGACATAGACCACCATGGGCTTGGTGCCTGCAATCAGTCATTCCACAAACACTCGAGACCCACTCGAGCCAGGCCTGTTGTGGTACAGGAATCACTTCCGTGGGCAGAACACAAATGGCGGCCTTCCTGGAGCTTCCACCTAGTGAGAGAGGCAGGCAGTGAACCTGATAAGAAAGCACAACGCAGGGAACACGACTGATGTGAATTCTCAGGAGGAAAATAAGGCAGGGAAAGGGAATCCGGTGTGTCAGTGGTGAAGCTTTAAATAACATGGTGTGGACAGGGAGGGCCTCTCTGAAAGGTGGTGTTTGCATAAAGACCTGAAAAAAGGAAAAAGTGACACATTCAGGTATAGGGTAGGAGGTCACCAGGGCATCCTCTGCTGTATCCAGGCAGAGGATATTCAAGAGCGAAAGCCCTGAGGTGGGAGAGTGCACAGCGGGTGCTGGGAGCATCACAGAGGCTGTTCTGGCCCCAGTGGGGCGAAGAGGGGAGGGGATGAAGGACAAGGTCCAGTGGGTAAGTTGTGGGAAGCCTGGTAGGTCATCAAAATGACCTTGGCTTTGACTCAGAGTAAGTCAGAAGCCATTGAGAGTTCTGAGTAAAAGAGTGACGTGATCTAACTTTTTTCTTTTTCATGTCAAAATGTGTTCATATGCTTTTTAAAATGTTTAGCAATTCGATGGTTTTTAGTATATTCACAGAATTGTGCAACCATCAACACGATTTTAGAATATTTTTATCACCCCTAAAAGAAACCCTGTGCCCAACAGAAATCACTTCCCAAACTACTTTCTTTTTTAAAATATTATTTTTTTAGTTGTAGATAGACACAATATCTTTATTTATTTATTTTTATGTGGTGCTGAGGATGGAACCCAGTGCCTCATGCATGCAAGGCATGTGCTCTACCACTGAGCTACAACCCCAGCCCTACAAACTACTTTCTTCCTCTATAGATTTGCCTATTCCAGACTGCTGTATGTTCTATTTTATTTATTATTATTATTTTGCACTGGGCATTGAACCCATAGGTGCTTAACCACTGAGCAACATCACCAGCCCTTTTTTTATTTATTTATTTTTATTTAGAGACAGGATCTCACTGAGTTGCTTAAGGCCTTGCTACGTTGCTGAGGCTGGCTTTGAACTCACGATCCTCCTGCATCAGTCTCCCAAGCCACGGGGATTACAGGTGTGTGCCCCAAGCTGGCTGCCATATGTTTTAAAAGGCCCCATGGAGCTGGACTGTGGGTGAGCAGGGCTGGGCACAGACAGACCTCCAGGAGGCTTCTGTCCCCCACAAGGGAGAACGGAGGTGCCCAGCCGGGGCTGGGGCGGCAGGGGGAGATGCAACTGCTGCATTCTGGATACGTTTTGAAGCAGGACTTCCTGAGGGACTGGCTGGGTGGGGGGGTGCTGAGAGAAAGATGGACGTCAAGAATGACTGAGTTTTTTGACCCGAGGGACTGGAAAGCTAAAGTCGTCATTAACCCAAGTGGGGAAGGCTGTGGCAGGGCAGGTGGTGGGAAACGCTTGGGAACTTCCCTTTAAACAGGTAAAGTTGGGGACACCTGTCAGACCGCCACATGTAGCCATTGGGCAAGAAGTTGGGTGTGGAGTTCCAGAGAGAAGCGGGGCTAGAGATGTCAGAGCTGGGAAGAGCAGATGGTAATAGCAGCTCTAGAGCCTAGAAGAGGACCTGCCACCCGAGCCCCAAAGTCCAGAAAACCAAGGACAGAGCTCACTGCCCGGCACAGCCATGGTGGACATCAAGCTGGGGATGGGGTCTCACCAGCAGCCAGTGGAAATGCCACAGGGCCCATTTAGTCCATCAACTGTATTTATTGTGCCTCTCTGGCCTTGAGCAGGTGACAGCCAATGTCTTTTAGAAAGACCTGGAGAGACTGGCAGGAAACTAACAGAAATATAGCATCAGGCAATAACAGATGATGGGGAGAAAAATAAAGTCAGGGAGGAAGGTAATGGAAGACAGGGCTGTCACTCAGATTTGGGGTTCAGGAAGCCATCTCCAAAAAGGTGACATCTGAGCCATGAGAGACTGTAGTGCACCCACACCCACACCCAGGGTGCTGTGGGCGGGGGAGAAGAGATCCAAAGGTCCAGAAGATGTGGCCAGAGCAGAGAGAAGGGCAGGTGGTGGCCAAGAGCCTGGAAGAGCCAGGTGACACTCTGGGATTATGAGACCCTGGAATTATTCCCCGAGGATTTAGAGTAGGTGCAATTAAAAGGATAGACTGAGGGGGGGGGGGGGGGGCTGAGCCCAGGCTAGACACACAGGCAGCCACTGCAGACCCCCCAGGCAGCCCCAGGACCCACCAGCAGCTGGGAAAGTGCACTTGGATCTGAGATATGAGGTTCCCACACTTTGTGGCTTTGAGGCTGTGGCCCTGGGACAGTGGCCTCCCCTCTGGAGGTTGCAAGCCCCTGATTGGCAGAAGGAGGCAGTGGGGTCTCTAACATTCCTCCTTCCAGCTCAGGGCTCTAGGGGGCCATCTTTCCAAGCAGTGTGGTTCCCACTGCCCTCTGTGTAAAACCTCCAGGCCACAGAGATTAGGACAGGCACACACCAGGAGAGGGGGGATCAGGGGGGCATCTCCCTCCACCCTCAGGTGGCAGCTCTGAGCTCCCTTGAGGCCTGTCAGGGGTATAAGGAGCCACCCCTCCCTCACCTGCTGTCCACTGCACTGGTGTCAGGCCCTAGTGATGAGGGCCCCGTGTGGACGAGAGTGTGGGAGGCAAAAAGAGTTTAGAGCCAGACAGGGCTGTGTGCAGATTCCTACTCCCTCTGCTTATCAAGCTGTGTGACCCTGGGCAAGTGTCACTCCCTTTCTGAGGTTCTAATTTCCTGACGTAAACTCGAGATCATACTACCTTTCTCATCACATGATGAAAATTAAATGAAACAATGCTATGCAAGAGGGTGCCTGGCCTATAGTAGGTGCTCACGAAACTTTCATTCCTTCCATGTCACCTCCTGCACTAGGAGTATTGGTCACCCCCTGTTTAAAATACCTGGGTGGCTTCCCACTGATGAGCTTCAGGTCCACAGCTCCCGGGGCCCCTGAAGGACAGGCCCTGCCAACCTCTCCACCCGCACAGCCCTCCTTGGCTTCTGACAACACCGGCCTTCTTTCAGTTCCTCAAACAAGCTGAGCTCTTCCAGCTTGCAGACCTTTGCACAAGCCTGTCCCTGGCTCCTAAAGGCCGAGTTCTCATCTGTTAGGTCCACTTCGATGTCTGTGTCTGAGACGCCTTCCCCGGGCACCCTGTCTGGTCTCTGCCTCGGTGCCTCTTTGATCTCCGTCATACACTGATTGATGGGTTTAACAATTTAATTGATTTATTGGTCCACCACTTGATTAACTGCTGCCTCTAACATGCCACGAGTTCCACGGGACCCTGGGCACTGCTCTACTCCTGGCACCTAAAATAATCATTGGCACACACTAGGTGCCGCATAAGTTTTCTCTCTCACCCCAAAGATACGCACCACCATGGGCACATAAGGACCTGGGATCACTTAGGCTGTAAACTGGCTCAGGAAAATTCAAGTCAGCAGCTAAGAAACGAGGAAGCTGAAGCCTAGAATGTTGTTAAAAGTCCCAAGGTGACCTTCAGCAGGCCTGAGCAGCAGAACCCACTTCAGTCTGCAGTGACTGGCCTTTGTGGAATCTCAGTGGCTACCTAGTGTCAGTTTGATTTCACGGCCCACCCACGCAGCACCCTAAATGGCCATGTTTCAAAAATTAATAGCTCCGCTTTTGGTCAAACCTCTTCCCCTCCAACATGCCGAAGCCCAGGGGAACATACACACATGTGCCCACCCAGAGACATCCAGAGAGCGTGAGACCCTCCCCAGCATCCACCCACCATCAGGACACCCTCCTGACCGAGCCAGGGAGAAAGGGATGGGACTTTTTTATGTCCAATTCAGTAGACTTCTTGGAATGTTCTAGAAAACCACTAAAGACAAAAGGAAAAGACAAGAATAGAGCTGAGACAGTTCTAAGCCCAAAATTGAAACATAAATTTAGGAAAGCCACATTTTTACTATTATTTTTTAAATTGGAAAAAAAAAAGTGACATAACTTAAAACAAAAAAAAAATTTTCAAAGCAAAAAATCACCCCAAATCCTACACTGGTCCCCCCCCTCCAGACATGATTGTTTCCAGTTGGGCACAGTCCATCCGGCCTGGTCTCCCAGGCACACACCTTGCCTCAGAGGGTTGCCATGCTGTGAACACACCTTTCAGGAAAATTTCACTTCAAAATGGAAATATTTTAAAGGAAAAGGAATAAGGGGGGGAGGGAATGGAAATGTTGGCAAGTGGCCCCTGAAGGAACGCAGCTAGCCCGTCTTTTCATTTCTCTAAATGATCGCTGAAGAGTCGCCTACAGGTGTCAGACCACACATGGGCTCAGTTCAGGGTTGGTGAGTACGTGTGGGTGTGTTGTGCACCGTGCACACCCACACCCATGGACTTCAGTTACCACCAGCTCCCTCCCCGCAGGGGGCTCCCTGGCAGCCAGAGGCCCAGCCGGCTCAGTGGCAGAGGCTGAGCCTTCTCCCTCAGGACTGACTGACTCAGGTCTTCCTTCTGTGCACAGATGTCAGGAGGAGAGAGCCCGGCTGCAGGCACAGCTGGAGCAGCAGCACCAGGAGGCTGAGAGGAGGGACGCCCTGTACAAGGAGGAGCTCGGAGGGCAGCGGGACCTGGTCCAGGCCATGAAGATGAGGGTGCTGGAACTGACTCAGTAAGGACGGGCAGGAGGGGCTGGGTGCCGAAGGAGGAAAGGTAAGGGGTGTGGAGACAGGAAAACTATTCCAACCACAGCTCTCAAGCAGGATTCTAGAGATCCCACGATGCTATCTTTATATCCCTTGATGTTCCTTTACAGATGAGGAAACTAAAGGTCAGAGGGGCTGACTTGGTCACCAAGGACAGCATATAAGCTTTACAGAGTCCCCTGAAAATAAGGCCTCCCCTGCCTCCACATACACACACCTACTGCAATTAGGAGAAGAGAGAGGAACTCATGGGTTGAGAAGGAATTAGGGAGGGAGGAAAAGAAACACTGGGATTAACCAAATAGTCACATGTCCCACACCTGCCCGCCCACTGGTCTTCCTCAGACCCCTGGGCCCGTGGGCCTGACTCCAGTCAGCCGTTCTAGGTTCCAGAGGCCAGGGTCACCAGGGTCCATTCAGACCACTGTGCTCTCAGAGAGTGGGGGGTGGGGCTGTGAAGCACAGCTTCTGTCTTTTAGTCTAATAAGGAGATAATTCACACATATGTTATCCCTTGGTGTAGTCTAGGGGACAGGAGACTCAGGTTGGGCTCAGGTTCCATTAAAATTAGAAGGTTGTTGGGAGGTCACCCAGAATGGAATTCTCCAAATATTAAAGCTGAGAAAGACAGATCAACTTGGAAGGCACAGACAAATAATTTAAGGAATGAGTTCCTCCAAGGTGTCCATTGGGCAAGAGGAAGGGAGATATAAAAGGTTAACCTCTTACCTCACCAAAGAGCTTAAGGTAGGGCTGGGGTTGTGGCTCAGAGGTAGAGCGCTCACCTAGCACGTGCGAGGCCCTGGGTTCGATCCTCAGCACCACATATAAATAAATAAAATAAAGGTATTGTGTTCAACTACAACTAAAAAATAAATATTAAAAAAGAGTTTAAGGTAGCTAACAAGAAAAAAAAACACGTACATGTGATTGCTAAGAAAAAAGTAGAAGATTAAATGGAAGATGAAACAGAAGGAAAAAACACTCTGCAGAGCTAGGATGTATATTAAGATTAGGGTTAGAATTCATCTCTAAGCATCTTTGTAGCAGGATCAAAAAGGAAAAGACAAGGAGAGAATTGCCTAACGCTCACTATCCATTCAAAGGAAATATACTAGATATATATACTGATATATTACATGGACTAGTTTTTTCTGATATTAAAGACATTAATCAGATGTATTCAGGGAACTCCAATCTATATAATAATACAAGCTTCTGGCAGAAGCTTTATAGAAGATAGGACTGTATTCTCCATCCCGAGAGCTCACCATAATGAGTGTAAGAGAATAAACCTTACAATAGAGAAAAGGAGCTGGACTGACCAAAGGTGAGAGATTCTAGCTCATTTCCAAAAGCTGGGAAATGGATGGCTAAGTGGATGCTGTATGAAGCCCCAGGTAGCCCTCGAAGACCTGGAGATCCCAGGACCCCGTGGTGAAGGAAGAGGAGGGGATAAAGTCATTAGTGAGAGGAGTGTATGTCCCCCTCCTCTGCCTGCCTCTCCACCCACAGAATACCCAGCAGCAGACACCTTTTCTCCAAAGCAAATAATCGACAGGTCCTCTCTCAAGAAATTTAGGTGTCCCAAGTAGAAGACGAGATTGTAGTGGCATTTGGGAGTCTAGTACACTAGGTAACTCCCTGCCAAGTGCCCTTGAAAGGGAAGCCACCTGTCAATCAGCCCTGTCCAATACCTGGAGCACCAACCCGCTTCTGTTGCCTCTTTCTCAAACATAAAATGACAACCAAGGCTTTGAGGAGAGTCTAGAACACAAAAGGGAGAGAGGAAAATAAACAAACCAAGGACAAAGTATCTCCCCTGAAACAAGGTGCTGTGAAAGAGACATGTTCTCGGAAATTAAAAATATGGTTGCTAAATACATCTTAATATTCACTAAAAGAATCGAAAGAGAAAGATGAGGCAGTCTCTCAGAAAGAATGGAAAGCACAGAAAGTTGGAATTCATGGGAGAATTAGAGACATAAAGAATCAGTCTAACAGTTCCAATATCCTCACCAACTAACAGAAGTTCCTAAAAAGGAGAGTAAAAACAATGGTCAGTGTCAAATAAAATTTGACAAAGGTAAAAATGTGAATTTCCAGGCTCTCACAGACACAGATCTTCAGATGTAAAGATTTCCCTGAAAGATCAGCACAAGAAATGAAAAACAAAACATAAAACAAACTAAACCTACACTTAGATATAATCGTGAGAAATTTCAGTCAAACAAAGATAAAGAAAATATTTCCAAACTGTTTAGAGGAAACCACAAGTCACATATAAAAGAAGTAGAACCCAATGCAGGCCAAGAGTCCATGACATAATACTTCAAGTTCTAAGAAAAGCTGACTTTTGCCCTAGAATTCCAGGCTCAGCCAAACCTTGAATTAAGTGGGGAAGGAATTGGAGAAAGACATTTATCAGACAGAAAGGTCTTAGAAAATTCACCTCCCACACAGCCTTTCATAGGAAGTTAGTTGAGGATGTGTTCCAGGAAAACAAGGAAGTAAGCAAAGAAAGGAGAAGATGTGGAATTCAGGGAACAAAAGTTCTAGCCTAGGAGAAAAGGAAAGGAAATTCCCAAGAAGACAAGTGGGCAGCAAGTTCAGGGAGCTCTCTAGATTGTAAGAGAGGAATCTAGAAGAAGGTCTCTGGGGAAGAGAAGCAAAAGTGTATTTGCTATGGTAGAGAATTGTTGGGAGGGCATTATAGGTAAAGGGAATTCATGCAAAGAATAAAGAAAGGCAGTTAAAAACTCTGAGAAAAATAAGTCTTTCAAGAATGGAAATATTAGGGAGCTGGGTACAGTTGGCACATGCCTGTAATCCCAGCAGCTCAGGAGGCTGAGACAGTAGGATCTTGAGTTCAAAGCCAGCCTCAGCAATGGCGAGGTGTTAAGCAACTCAGTGAGACTCTGTCTCTAAATAAAACACAAAATAGGGCTGGGGATGTGGCTCAGTGGTTGAGTGCCCCTGAGTTCAATCCCTGAGACAGAAGGACCACATGTTCAAGGCCAGCCTGGACAACTTAGATTCTGTTTCAAAATAAAAATAGAAAGGGCTGGGATATATCTCAGTGGTAGGGTGCTTGCTTAGCATTCACAAGGCCCTGAATCCAATCCCCAGTGCTGAATGAATGAATGAGTTAATTAATGAATCATAGAACACAACTTATAAATGATAGAACACAACTTATAAATTATAGAATACAATTCTTTGGGACATAATATGTATATATATTATCTAATAATGTAAACGCAATTCTTTATCTTTTTTTCAACCTTAGAATCAAATTAAAGACAAAGCACAGGAGACAATTATAGAAACAAAACATGAATGTTATCACCTTAACAACATTAAGTATACAGGAGAATCCAATAAAGGTTCTGTGAAGACAAAATGTTTGATATTTGTGTTGACTCCGTGGTAGCCACAGATCACATGTTGAGATGGGGCACCTAAAATATTGATCCGGTGCAACACAGGAATGAAGGTTTTCATTTTATTTAATTTTAACTCAGTTAGACACATGTGGCAAGTGGCTACCATATTGTATGTTTCAGGAATAGAAGACAAGTTAGGAGGAGAAGGAAGGAGAAGAGATGAGGGAAGGGATAAGGGCAATATCATATTACCGAACGGGAGTCATAGATAGAATGAGAAAAAAATATGAGTACATTCTGGAAACTTCTAATGGTAACCAACAGAGGAACCAAAAATAGGGATATAACTCCATTGGAAGAAGGAAGAGAAACTGGCAAGGATGGTAATAAATAAGCTAAATGCTCTGCTGTCAAGGGAAGGGCCCCAGAACAACTATTCTCTACTGAAGGAGGGAGATATGGAAGTTAATACCAAAAAGAAAAAAAAAAAACCTGCAAGAATGAGTTTCCACTGAAAACAGAAAGGAGGGGGAGGTGCCAGTGTCTTTTAATATGTGCCCTCTGTGCTATTTGAGTTTTAAAATGTGTATATGTATTATTTTGACAAAATTTTAAAACAACTGATATTTCTAAACATCCTTTAAAAAAAAAACAAAACAGTGAAGATAGTTTTGCAAGGGCAGACACAGATAAATATATGCCAGTTTGTTTCAAGTGCCAGATAAAAGGTGAAGTGGGCCTTAAATGCTGTAGGCACCTGGAGCCAGGACCACAGGGGCTTCTGTGACCAAGGGGTGCACTGGGAGGAGGTGAAGGGGTTCTTGGTCTGGGTCACGTTCTGCTGGGAGCCGGGAGCTGGGTGTCACCATCCAGATTCTCCAAGAATGAACTAACCCAGCTCTGGTGTGTCTCACTCCTGTTCACTTCTCCCCATCACCGTTTGTCTCCGTGTGTGCCTGCATCTGTGTCCTCTGTCTTTCTCTCCCTCTACATTTGTGTCTCTCTCCTTCTCTGTGCATCCGTCCCCTCTCCAACTCTCCAACGTCCTTTCTCTCTCTGGATGTCTCCCATCATCCACTTCCCTCTTCATTTCTGTCCCCCTGCCCCTTGTCCCCATCTCACTTTGTCTTTCTGTGTACCTGGGTACACCTGCCTCTGTCACCCTCTCCATCCCCCTCTTCCTCCTTCTTTGCCTCCATGTTCCTCTTTCTGCCCCTCTCTGTCCCTCCATCCGGGTCATCTCCTCCTTCCTGTCTCTCTGTCTGCCTCTGCCTCCGCCCTGTCCCTGTCCATCAGTGAGAAGGACCGCCAGTGGCAGAGGCTGCAGCAGCTCTCCTCCGTGGTGCCCGCCGTCTGCGTTGGCTGCGGCAAGGTCTTCAGCAGGCTGTCCCGGCGGTATCCCTGCAGGTACCGGGAAGGACACAGACTCCTTCCTCTGGGACAGTCCACTTTCCACCAGCCCACAGTCCCCTCTGCACCCTAAGGAGAGAAGGAACAAAGGAACTGGGCATTTATAAAAGGCCACTTACACCTGGCCACTTGTTCACCCCACCTGGCCTCGGACACTAAGCTGTCATGATCTAGAACATGGGGAAGGGGCCAGAGAGGGAATGGGTCCTGGGTGACAGGGTTGTATAATCTTCAAAGGACAGACCATGGCCTCCTCATCTGGGAAAAGGGTTCCTGCCCTGAGCGAGCTGCTCTCCTTACCTTCCTCTGCCATCACTGTGGCAGGACAAGCAGAGCAAGAAGGGGACATGAGCCATCAGGAGAATCTGCCACTTGGAGTTGAGGGTCCAGGGAGGTCAGGCATCAGAAATCCCTTTAGGAAAGTGGAGACTTCTGAGACAGCCCAAGGGCCATCCTGCTGGGAGATGGGAAGCCCTGGCACAAACCCCCGTGCTTCCTCGGCCAGCTGCAGCGTCCACCCCAGGTTGCCCTGTCTCTGCTCCCCAGGCTCTGCGGAGGCCTGGTATGTCATGCCTGCTCTGCGGATTACAAGAAGAAGGAGCGCTGCTGCCCACCGTGTGCCCAGGGAGGAGAAGCCCAGGTCACCTGAAAGAGCAACCCAGGATCAGCCACCCCGCACCTACAACCACACCCCAGTCCTCTCCCTTCCCTGCCTCTTCCAAGTCCTCTGGTCTGTCGGGCCTCATGTTCTAGAAGCTGGTGAGCAAAGCAAAGCTGGTGCCGCACCCCAGTGTAGGGACAGCGGCAGTCGGGGTGACAGTCTGAAGACATTTCTAGCCCTGCATGTCCCACATGGATGAGCAGAGTAGCACATGCCCCTGGCTCTCAGGGCTTTGCCACTAATGTGAGGGAGGTGGCCTACAGCCTGTCTACAAAGTCCTTCAAGGCACAGAAAATCCATGGCCATACTTAAAAGCCCAGGCCCTGATGGTTCCCCAGAACCTCCCCCCATCACCCAGCTGCGCTGCCTACCCCATGCACAAGGAGTGAAGCTTGCACAGATACCACTTCTGCAGTAGCTTCTGGTCTAATCTGCTTCACGGATCTGTGTTTGATTCCTTTTGTTTTAACTTTAACAGATTTACTGAGGTGCTACTGACATATAATAAACGTGATGGAATTTTTGCATTTTGAAAAATCTGAGAAACCGTCACCACAGTCACTTCCATGTCCATCAGCCCCAAGGTTTGCTCACACCCTTTCATGATCACTGTCCCTCCAAGCCCAGAACACCACCAGCCCTGCTTCCTGTCACCCCAGACTAATATGTATTTTCTAGAATGCTATATAAATGAAACCATACACTATTTCCTCTCCCTTGTCTGCATTCCTTCATTCAGCATCATTATTTTGAGATTCATCCAGGTTCTTGCAAATATCAATAGTTCTTTTCTATTATATTCTATTCGGCCGAATGGACATGCCTCAATTTGTTTATGCGCTCACCTGTTGCTTCACGCTGGAGTGGTTTCCAACTTGAGACTATTACAAATAAGGTTCCTCTAAGCAGCTGTGCAGGCATGCAGCTCTCTGTCACTTGCTGTCAACAGTATGGAGACTTGATGGGCCCCTAGCTAATAGTGCCTGGAAGGAGGGACTGAGTCCAGGGGACTGTGCCATTCTCACCCAGCCAGACTTTGATGAAGGCAGTGGACAGGTTGACCTCTGGGTAAGATCATTTCCCCTGTACTATCCAAGAAGTCTTATGCAATGGGTATGTCATTCACTAATTGTGGCGTTTCTGAGAACACTGTTTCAGAAGCGTGGGCCCCACTTTATGACAAGGCAATCAGCTGCACTTCCCTGGTTCTAGGGCACACTGAGTGCCCCAGACAGGTGTCCATGCTGTCCCCATCTGCTCTGCCTTACATAGCCTCTGCAGTCATTGTGCAATTCTGTGGCTCTGACCAGAGCTCGTGGATGGCCTCTCGGGGTCACCAGAGTTGCATCCTGTTGCCTTCACATGGAGCAAGAGTTTTGCAACAGCAGTTTCTGCCCTGGAGAGCTGATGAGAACTTCTCTTTGACAAACGCTGTAACAAGGTGTCCGAGGGTAGTAGGAGCTCCAAGAGCAGTCAAGGTAACAGATTCACCCTAAAGTGGAGCAGTTCCTTCTGGAGAACTGACTGACCCACACAAATTTGGCAGAAAAAAAAAATTTGTATTAGCAGGAATTCCAGCACACGGAATTCAGACCTTCCTGGTAAACTGATGAGGGTGAGGTCACCAGCAGAAGCCCATTTTCAAAGAAGAAGCAAGATGCTCTTGGAAGAGAACCCATCACAGGGGAATCTAGGGCCAGGATGGGGGGGGGGGAACTTAACCTCTTCCCCATTTGGAAAAAGGAAAAGGCAATGCTGAGTACCAGCCTCGAGCTCAACGTTGCCCCCTGCAGAATTCAGTGGAGAGCAAAAAAGCTCTAAATAAGAATCAGAAAATTTTGTTACACTCTGTGGACCTTGTAGCAGAGGGTTCCACAGTGGTCACTTTAGACTACCCCATCAGCTGCCACTGTAAGTGGCCCCAGGGCACATTTCCAGCTATAGCAGTGTCCACAGGAACACGTGGGAGACACCCCCACAGACTCCCCCAAATCCCTGAGGAGTCTCTGCAGGGACTGAAGCCCTGCGTGAGCGTGTGGAGTCTAAGACGGATAGAGAATGTTGTTGTCATGATTTCATTTGTGCTCATAATCTAGGGATGCCCTGGGAAATCTGGGCAACGAAATTACGTAGTTTTTAAAATTAGATGACAACAAGATATCCCCAGGCATATCAGTTTCTCCAAACTGTTGAGGCTTTTCATTATCAATAAACAAAAATGTATTAAATATTCATAATATACTTCACACTGCGGTTGGTTTGGAGACATGAGATATATATATATATA